TGTTATGAGCGTGCTAAAGAGGTATTTGTGTGTCAATAAAAACTTCACTTGCAAATTTTTAGCTTCCTTTCAGTATTTTCCCAGCGTACTTGTGTAAACTATTATTTCTGTAGCAGATCGTGCAGGAAAACCGAAAACTTATGGATGCCATGGTTGATGAGCTTGTTCAGAAGAAAAGTTTGACAAAACAAGAATTCTTCCATCTAGTTGAGTTGCATGGATGCACTAAACCGCTGCCACCAAGTATTGTCGACCTCAGGGCCGCTAGACGCTTGCAGTTCCAGCAAATATTGAAGGGCAGGAAGTAACAACTGTTGGTGGCAACTCTTAACACAAGGTGGTAACAAAAACTTTCCTTAAGGCATTTTTGTGTTTGCCCCGTTGAGCAATATGCAGTTGTGGCTATCAGTTATTGGAAGGAGCATTTATTGGGAATTTGACCATGCAACTGCAAAATCACTGGCTTCAGGAAACTATTTGTTCATGATATCTGTGTGCAAGATGCAAGAATTGCAGGTTGTGGATAATCCGGTGAGCATCGAAAAGAAGAAAGGAGCAGTTTTGCCACAGCTGACCGGGCTAGCTCAATATCAGATCCTGTTTCCTCATTTATTTTTGCAACAATTTTAGTTGTGATCTTTTGTCATCATCTTATCAAAATTACAAGTTAATATTGGCATCGACCACCACCTCAGAATGCGGGATTGGTTGATGTATGCGATGGTAAATTGTTTTGGAGAATGTTATTCTAATTATCACAAGCAGGACATCCCTTCAACACCGAAAGGAGCTTTTCTCCTGATTGTAAGTATGCATATTGACCATGTGTTGCATCTAAAAATATAATTCTATGCACTGGAGTTTGAAACCTCCTTAACTGCTAGAAAAACATTGGAGGTTTAAATATCATTTTTCCAATAAGTTTTTGAGAGAAATTAAGATCTTGACCAAATTCTACTTGTAATATCCACTCTAAACGAGAAATTATTGGACTCTAATATTTTTTTTTTTTTAAAAAAAACATTTCTCATACTTTGTTAATCTCAATGTCGTTTGTGGAAAATAATCTTTCACAATGCAAATAAGCATTTTCTTATTATACAACTTCCAAATCATAGTCACTTTATGTAAATACCCAAACATTCAAATATGTCTAATTTATTTCCTCAAGCACCTTCGTACAATTAGATTTAGAAATCTTATTTTCGTTCAAAATGGTTTTATACATTAATCAAATTATACGAGGAAAGTTAATATATTTCATTATATTATTGTTTACATGAATTTATACAAACTCGATTACTAAAAGAAAAATTAAGTAATATTTATGAGAATCTAAATGAGCTTCGTTAAACACCAACAATTCTATTTTTTTAACAATGTTCGTGTTATTCAATCACATGTATCAAACACAAACTTATTTATTCTTCATTGTACTGAGGGAATTCAAGCTCAAAATTACTTGACTGAAACCGAAAGTCAGTTGCAAATCTCATAACTTTTTCCTTCTCTATTATCTCTCTACTTTTCTTTTATTTTTCTGTTTGACTAAACTCTTTATATTTATGCACATATGATTGATGACTTTTATATAAAAAATTTAATTAATATAGTACCAACTATTTAAAGTTTAAAATTTTGAAACCAGCAATGTAAAACCCGGCTAGCCCAATCCAAAAGACCCAAGCCCATTGGCAGGTCCCCAAGTTTTGCACGAACAACCTTCCTTTTCTTCTTCTCACTTGCAACACAATAAGGGTTTGGGGTGAGGTTAGTAGAAAGAGAAGAGAGAAAGCTCAAGTGAAGGATGAGAGCGACGATCTAGAGAGAGAAAGAGAGGGAGAGCAGCCGGAAGAGGAAGGTGTCGCGGAGGCTGAAGTTCAGAGATCAGAAAAGAAGGAAGAATCGCGAGAAGAGGGTTATGATTGTTGTTCAGCTTTGGATTTTGTTTGATAAAATTTGTATTTATTTTATTAAACCTATGTGAATATTTGTTTGCACATCTGCATTTTAAACACAACTATATTTTTACTGAATTCGTAAAACTCATCTCAATTCACACTCTCTCAATGTAGATTAGTTTAAATCAAGAGTGAGTTCAATATGAAAGAAAGACTTTAAAGAATTTTTAGTTATTTTAGATGTTTGTTGTAAAATAAATCTAAATATATTATTGTGACACAATTTTAAAAGATTTTTGTGAGATTCATGAATTGTGACTAAAAATGTATTGTTGATTCATAAATTTTAGTATAATGTTTGCACAAAATTTATCATGTTAATATATGTGGTAACATTCATTTCTCATGACGTTATAAATAATTTATGTTAAAAAAAAATAAGAAGTGTTTTCATGAAATGCATGCTTTTGTAGGAATTTTGGAATGGTATGCCCAATTAAGAAAATCAATTATGAAGTTATTCAATTTTGTAATGAGAAGACTGAATTATATTGAAGTTGATTTAAAACTGTATTTTAAAATATGGGTAGATGTATATAGACGACATAAATTTATGAAGTTTTTCATATTAAGTTGTAAAAGCTTATAATTTTTATATTTATAATTAATTTTAAATGTGGTTTAAATATTTTTAATATAATATATAATTTAAATTAAATTCTTTATTACATAAGCAGAATTTACATAGGCTTTACAAATAGTCTTAGATTGGCATAGGGGTTAATTAATCTTTTACATCATTCAAAAAAAAAAAAAAATAATAATAATAATAATCTTTTACAACCAAACTGACTCCGTCCCCATAAATTATAGAATTTGCTAAGAAGGTGTAAAAAAAAAAATACTTTATAATATAAAAGAAAGAGAATAATTAGATTAAAAATAGCTAGTAATATTTGTATAAATTGATATACATTTAAACTAAAAATTTATTATAATGCAGACAAAGCTCCTTACATTTTTAAAATTGGATAATATTATTTTCAATTAATATTTCTTAAAATCACTGGAAAGAAAAAATAAAATTCTTGAAAAGGAAAAGTAAAATATTATAAATTAATTTTTCAAGCTATTTACAAGATAAAAAAAAATATCTATAACGATCCCGGAAATTTCAAAGAAAATAAATTATAAATTAAGTGCGGAAGCGAAATAAATAATTAGAGTTTACATTCCTTACAAAATGACTTAAATATCAAGTAGGGTTACGAGAATAATTCTTTTGAGAGAAATACGAGAAATTAAAGAATAACTAGAAAATAAATAAAATTGACATTCTACTCACAACTCTCTTGTGGATCGGGCTCTAGGTCCTGATCCTCTTAATCTGACATGCTTAATAAAAGATGAACTATACTAGCTCAGTAAGAATATCACACTATTAACCGATACAGAAATAAAGGTTGGTAGAAATAATAAAAACAACTAATGGAGCTCTGAATTTAGCAAAATCGTTTATCATATATGAAATCATTTACTGTCTACTTACCATAACGAGATTTACAAAATAACTTATAGAGACAATAACATAACACATCTCATGATTTCATATGTAATTGATTGAAATAACAATTTTCTCTTTTATCAGCCTACTGGTATTCATGGGGGTTTATATGGATGTTCCCACAATATGTGAACAATTTCCTTTAACATTCTAATTAACAGGCCGTCCTCATACTCTGTTCGGTATAAGCACTAAATACTAAACCTCAATACCCCGTCCGGTATGAGGGTGAAACGATCCATTCTCATACCTCGTCCGAAATGAATACCAAATTACCAAGCGTCGATACCCCGTCCGGTATGAGACAACATTCATAGTAGGATTTCCTATGTACCCGATCCGTCCACCATTTCTCAGAATATCCAGTAAGGCTGTTGTTTCATCCATTCACTTAATCACATAATATCTCGTTTACTTCTATTATCTAATTTTTTAATTCAACCGTAATAACATAAAACAAACAAAACATGCATAAGGGAATATAATCACATATCAATTTTTCAATTCAACTGTAGTCACATAAGGCAGTAATATATACATTCAAATCCATAAAATTGATCAGCAGATATTATCATGCATTCAAACTATAAAATAATTTAACAGAAATTAACAATGAATAATTTTCGATTCTGACTCTATTAGTAACCCATAATTAGTTATGGATATTTTCTAAATTGCACAAAATATCGTATTTTTGTTAATTTGATTTCAATTCTATAACAGAGAATATGATAAGGGATTCTTACTCAAATTGATACCCGGAATGTCAAACTTGTTGACTGTGCTTATTGGCGGTTCCTGAATTTCCTAATTTTTTCTTTAGAGATTAAAACGCGTTACAAGTACCTACAAATATCCCAAAAAAATTTACAAATCAGTGTCAGGACCCCTTTTTAGCCAATTTCAGAATTCTGACACGGCTGCTCCGCCGTATTTTACTGATGGCGCCGCCGCGGTTTGCCTCGAGTCGGTTGTTTTTAGCCAATTTTGCATTAATCATTGCGAGAAAATACGTTAAAGGGCCTCGGTTGGCTGAAAAAAATAAAAAATCGAAACTTATCGGCGGCGGGGTTCTCCGGTGCGGCGACTCTGCTGGCTCACCTTTGCGGTTGGGTGTTTTGCTTCGGTCAACATTTAGAGAAGGAAATGTGATTATAATTATGGAAGAATTACGCAAAATGAGAATCGAGAAGGGCCTCATCGGATGTAATTTTTATAATTTTTTGCGGTGGTGCCGCTTGATTTTACTCGCAGTTTTCGGAAAATCTGTTGGTCTTTTTACTCCAATTTGGTCGTGTGGGTGTTTAAAATTGAATTCCGAGCAAATAATTTTTTTTTTACCTATTTTGGCAGTTGGAAGTGGCTCCGGCGCGGCGGCTGGTAGTGACGGCTTCTCTTCCTAGCGGCTGGGTCTTCTTCTCCGACAAGAGTGTCTGCCGGCTAGGGTTAGGGTTTGGTGTGAAAAGAGTTATTTATATCAGTTTCCTTTTAATCTGGGCCGTTCTCCGCATTTGATTTGGACCGTCCGATCGCGATTAAATAAGAAATAGATCTGCACTGTTAATCGCGTTTAAATTTGACTGTCCGATCACGTCTAGGAGGGGATGCATTTGGGCTGTCCGTGCGCATATGAGTGGATTTGGATCGTCTAATCGTGGGCACGCGGATCGCCCGCGTGGCTTCCTGCGTGGCACCGCGTCAGCGTCCGTTGCCACACAGCGTGTTCTGGTTCGTCGGGGCTGCTGACTGGGCATTCAACGTGGCACAACTTTTCTAAATTGCGTTTTAACCTACAATTTTTTATTTTTTAAAAAAAAATACTTCAAGATCTCAAATTTTCACTCTTTTTTTCTAAAATTATTTTCAATCTCATCATTCACCTAATTTTCTTCATTTTACATTAAATTAAAATTAATAAATTAAAAAATTATATTTATAAATTAATTTTAAATTACATAAAAATTCATTTGGGTATTACAATATCAATAATAAATTACTAAATTACTTTTTACACTTATAATTTAATTTATAATATTTTTCATTATAATTTAATCTCTAATATTTTTATTTATTTCAAACAATCAATCTTCTTTTATTTTTCAATAAAAAAATTGAAACTAATTATATTCTATTTGAACTCTTTAGAAAATAGTTTAAATTAATTAATTAAATATATTTTCTGAATTATTTTTTAAAATGTTAAAATATAATAAAACCAAAAAGAGTAAAAAAAAATCATTAAGAAAAAATTAAAAATTGTATTACATTAAGCGATAAAATTTAAAAATTAATTTAATAATTTATTTAAAAAATCATTTGAATTCCATATCTGGCGGTCAAATTTGTATGTTTGACCTTTTCAAACATCTTTTTGAACTTTAACCGTTTCAACATTTCACCTCATCTCACACGTACTTCAAATCCCACTCCATCCAAACCGCCACGTCTCTTCTCTCCACGTTTTTCAAATCAAACCGCCGTAAACTCCACTCTCCTTCTTATGCAACATCATATATATATATATATGTATATATATATAAATCTCCACAAAACACCCTTTCCTCATTATCATACTCTTTTCACATTTTCAAACAAACATGGCTTCTCTCTTAACTCACTTCTGCACTTGTTTGGTTCTTCTTTCCACCATTAATGGCGGTACTCTAGTAATGATTCAAGGTTTGAAAGAGTTCAAAGTTGGTGATGAATTTGGTTGGCAAGAACCCACCGAGAACAACTCTGCAATATATAACCAGTGGGCCACAAGCAAAAGATTTCACGTTGGAGATTCTCTCTGTAACTCTTCTTCTTCTTCTTCTTCTTTTTCTTATTTCTTCTTCTTCCTCCTTTGTTATTTGATTATAATTTTAAACTTGAGATTAATTAATTAATTAGTTATTTATTTATACAGATTTTGAATACAAGAATGACTCAGTGGTGGAGGTAGAGAAATGGGGATACTATCACTGCAACTCAAGCAACCCTATTGTTGCATTTGACAATGGCAGGAGCATCTTCAAGCTTGATAGGCCTGGAGCCTTTTACTTCATCAGTGGAATCTCTGATCACTGCAAGAATGGTCAAAGGTTAATCGTGGAGGTGATGGGTCTGCACCACCATCTTCATTCTCCTCCTCCTTCCATGGCCATGCCGCCTGAGCACCAGCTTTCACCATCACCATCACCAAATTCACCAACTAATTCAGGGTCTCAATTAGTTTCAGCTTCATTGATCTCCTCTGTTTTTTTCATGGCTCTTGCTGCAGCTTCGTTTGTTATTTAATCTGTCTTTTTTTTGAATTATTTTCATTATATTCTGAGACAATGTTTAATTGGTATTTTTTTTCTGATACCCAGATTGATATTTTCCTCCATTGTTGTTTATTCCGATGGCTCTTGTTCTTGTAGTGCTATCTGAAAATTAACCTATTTATTATGCACTTCATTTATTTATTTATTTTGCTCTTTTGATTTAATCCCAGAGTACGTACATACATATATATATATATAAACAACTTAAATATCTAAGGGGAAGAAGAAAAAGCAGACCCAACAAGAATATGAAAACTGGCTTCCGCTATATTTCTTGTCTCTTTCTAGGTTTGCTATAAGGAGAGTATATTGTATGCGTATTAGATGAGATGGATGATTATGGGTTATCTGAGGCTATTTCGAACAATGGTACATATGGGTTTCTGGAAACAAAGTCCAAGTGAGCTATGGCTGTGTGTGTGTAAATATATATACACACACACATATATATTGATATAATGAGTACTGCAGGAGACTCCAGTGCTTGAACCAAGTCAGCCGGGACACAAATCCTTGGGTGGCCTACAAGTTGAATTTCAACCGTCAGAGTGGTTTATGTATTGCCACTCACAGGTGGCACTTGAACAAGATAATGCTACATTTATATGAAGAAAGCTTCACATCCAGATTAAACTCAGTTGCTGTTACTTATATATATATATATATATATATATATATATGCACTAGAAAAAACAATGACGAAGTATATATGTAAGACATTCTCAAACTCTTTCCAAGAGTTTTTACTCAGCAAACAAAACTAATTTGTATCAAGTCCCAAATCTTCCCCACTGAGATTTTTATAAATACTTTCTTGCTCGTAGCTAACCAAATGAATCATGCTATGACATAAAATAGGACCACTCTGGCCTTCTTTAATCCATGATTCTCCCTTCTACTTTGCCACATTGCAAAAACGTAGTAAAAACCAATACAAAGCATATACACCACATTCTGACTTTTGGCAATGCAAAAAATACGGTTCCAAGTAATTGGATAATTAATACTTTCTTTTTATAAGATGTTGTCATGAGTAAAATTGTATGTTTGAATATGTTATTTATTTAAAAGTTGTATTATAATTGATATGAGTATACTATATAAATATATAATTTTTTCATTTTTTTAAAAATAGTAATTTAAAAATAATTAATTTTATTTATAGATAATATATTAAAAAATCTTAGTATTATTAAAAAAAATTTAAGTCAACTCCTACATTTCGAATAAAATCTATATTTTTAAACTAGTAAGTTTTTATTATTAAAAACATATTTAATATCACTAAATAGATACACACATGACAAAAAAATGTATTTACTTGAACATTAAATTTAGAAAATATTGTTAGTGCAGCAGCTAATAACAATTTTTATTTTTTTTTATTTTCTCTATCCGAATAATTATATGTAACAACCTGAAACTTGAAGGTAAATAAGTTATAAATTGAGTGCGGAAGCGAAATAATCGTTTAAATTTTACATTACTTACATAATAATTCAGAATACCCAATAGAATTACGGGAATGACACTTCTAAAAGAATAACGAAAAAATAAAGATGTAAATGAAAAATAAACAAACTGAACATCCTATTCGCAACTCTTTTGTGGATCGAGATTTGGATCTTAGTTCTTTTGATCTGAAATGATTAATGAAAAAGTGAGGTACACTAACCCAACAAAAATGTCATACTACTCACCGATACAGAAATGAAGGTTGTTAAAAATAATAAAAATAACTAATGAAAGTTTTATTTTAAGTAAATTCATTTATCATAAGTGAAATTATTTATTATACACTTACTGTATCGAAATTTCCAAAACTGACCTATAGAGGTAATGACACAAACAGTCTCATAATCTCATGTACAATTAATTAGAATAACAACCTTTTCTTTTTATCTGCCTATTGGTATCTATAGGGGTTCATAGGAATGTCTCCACTACGCATGAACCTTTTTTCCACGTTTTTCATTAACCGACCGTCCCCATATCCCGTCCGGTATGAGCACCAAAAATACCATTTTTCAATACCCCATCCGGTATGAAGGTTAAACGGACCGTCCCCATACCCCGTCCGGTATGAGTGTCAAAGTACCATTCCTCCATACCCCGTTCGGTATGAGGCAACGTTTACGGTAAGGTTCCCTATGTACCCGCTTTGTCCATCATCTCCCAGGATATCCAGTAAGGTTACTATTCATTTACTCACTTAATCGAGCAATTTTTCGTTTTCATTTAATTTTTTAGTTTCCTAATTTAACTGTGAACCATACAAAACAAGTAATATATGCATTAAGGGACAGAAACGAATCATCATATCAATTCTAGTATGTTATCATACATTCGAAACTGTAAAATTAATTAATCAATTAAAACATGACAAATAGTAATAAATAACCGGTTCAGGCTCAATTAGTAACATTTAATTATCGATATTTCTAAATAACGTAAAATACCATAATATTTATAATTAGACTTCAATTATATAACAGGAAATAAGGTGAGAGATTCTTACCCGGATCGGTGTCCGAACGCTAAACTTTTGGCTGCGCCTATTGGCGGTTCTCGAATTCCCTGAATTTTCCTTCAGAAATTAAAACGTGCTCCAACTATCTAGAAATACCCCAAAAAATCTAAAATTGGTGTTGGAAACCCTTTTCAGCATATTTCGGGATTATGGCACGGTAGTGCTGCCGTGCTCCGGCGATAGCACCGTTGCTCACGACGGTGGTTTGCCTCGGACTGGCCGTTTTCGGCTTGTTTTGTGCTTCTCCCTGCGAGAAAATATATTAAGAGGCATCGGTTGGCCGAAAAAAGTAAAAAAATAGAGGCTTACCAGTGGTATGGTTTCTGGTGCAGCTGCTCCGCCAGCTCACCTTCGCGGTTGGGTATTTTAGTTCGGTCAACCTATAGAAAAAAAATGGTGATTATAATAGTGAAAAAATTGCACGAAACGGGAATTGGAAAGGGCATTAGCGAAGGCGATTTTTGTTTTTTTCGCGGCAGCACCACCGGGCTTTATCCGCGGTTTCCAGCTCATCCATCGGTCATTTTACTCTGATTTAGTCATGGGGGTATTCAAAATCAAATTTCGAGCAAATAAAATTTTTTTTACCTCTTTTGCCAGTCGGAGGTGGCTCCGGCACGGCGGCAGAAGGCGATCGACTCCCTTCTCGACGACTAGTTCTTCTTCTCCGGCAGGGGGTCTGGCGGCTAGGGTTAAGTTTTGGTGTGAAGTGGGGTATTTATATCCGTCTACTTTTAATCTGGACCGTCCATCGCGTTTGATCTAGAGCGTCCGATCGCGTTTAAATAGAAAGTGAATATGGACCGTTCATCGAGATTTGATATGAACCGTATAATCGTGTTTAAAGGGAGAACGAATTCAGATCGTCCACACACGCGAAAATAAATCTGGACTGTCTGATCGCGGTACGCGGATTGCCGGCGTAGCCTTCCGCGTGGCACCGCGCCAGTGTGCCTTGCCATGCGTGTTTTGGATCATCAAGGTTGCTGATTGGACGTCCTACGTGGCACATTTTTTTTAAAATATGTTTTAACCCTTAATTTCTATTTTTTTTTTCAAAAACACTCATAAAACCCAAAATTTTACTTTTTTTTCCTCAAAATTATTTTCAATTTCATCATTCACCTATTTTTTTTTTTATTTTTACATTAAATAAAAATTTAAAAATTATATTTATACATTAATTCTAAATATATTAAAATTAATTAAGGATATTACATTCTAAATTAGATATAAATTTATAAAAAGCCAACAAAAAAACATAAAATTAGAAGAAAATTTTCAGAGCCAATGTCACTCGAGTACTTTTCAGCACTCATTTAACTATCATCGTCTTATACTTAAAAATTTAATATCATAAAATTTCAACATTCATTTAATCATTACCATCTAACAGAGAGTTAATGATAAAATTTACCATACCGACTATTTTTATGACTTGATAATCACATGAACACATAGTTTTTGTCATCCAAACTTCTGTCTTACCGTGTTAGATACATTATTAAAAATAAATTTATTTAAACAAAATTCTAAAGTGCAGATTATATTTTAAACTAAAAATAGTGCAATAATACAATAGCTTTTGATGTATCATTAATTTTTAAACAATTGAGGTATGGTTCAGCTAGCTTTTCCTTTTGAAGCCCACACACACAAAATGGAACCCAAGCCCAGTCTCCAACGGCACCGTTTAGAGCGAAACAATCCTGTCCTCGGCGTGACTGTTCGAAGAAGGGTTTGGGTGGCTGGCGGGAAGATTCTGCTCTGAAAGCTTATTCTTTGACTATACTAGAAGAAGACAGAGAAAAGGACTAGATGAATCATAGCAGAGATAAAAGAGGCTTCTGAGAGGGCGGAAGCGATTTTGGAGAGAGCGTTTCGGTTTCGAGAGAGGAAAAACAAGAGGAGGCTCTTTTTACGGAGAAGAAAGGAATCTTTTTCGTAAACTTAGAAAACGAAATTGACAGAGAGAGTGAGAGAAAAGGAGGCAGAGGAAATTGAGAGAGAGATTCAAAGGCTTCAGTGGTAACTTCGACGTCTTGTATGCTTTCTACTTCGTAATGTACTCTTTTTTTTTTCTTTTAAATGAATGAAAAGATGTCTGATTCAATTATCCAACTGGGTTATTTTCTAAGCTCTTTAATTGAAAATTTCCAGTATAATCTCTGTTTCTTACATAATTAGTTGTTGGTCGAATCGGTTTAACTTAATTGAGATCAATCTATGGGGAGCCTGCTACTTGCTTGAAAAAATGCTACAACGAAGTTTTTTTTTCCTCTTTTGAGAAGGGACAGCCTGTACTGTTGGATGTTTCAGAGCTAATGACAAACTCTTGAATTTATGTATAATATGATGGTTCTTTTTTAAGTTTGCATCCTCTTTTATCTTCTCTTTTGCTACTGTTTGGTTTATTTTTTGACTGGGTTCTAAGGTGGAATCATGGGTTGAATGGTTGGTATTCTATTACTGGTTTGAAAAATGTCAATAATGACAAAAACTCTCGTGAATGAACCTTGCATTTTGTTTTGATTGTTGATTACAATTGTTGCCACTGGTTGGATCTTGTAAAGTATAAAGCTTTCGATATTTGAGGAGGATGATTAAACAGTAAGGAGAATGATGAATGAATTTGATGTTTGACAATGCTTGGCTGTGTAAGTAGCTGTCCATGGTTGAGGTATGTTCAGATTAATTTTGGCTAACTCCAGACTATGCTATAGTTATCTTTTTCTATTTAGTGCAGGTAAGGTTTTCTGTATGAACTTTGGAGTTGGGTAAATATAACTTCAATAAGGCTTCGCTTTATCTTGTGCACAAGGTTTTTTGATACGTAACCATATAGAATTTATTGAATCAAAAATCTGCTTGAAGCATTGAAGGAATCATCCAGTTACTAGGAAGTCGTGACAAGGTACCTATATTGGAAAGTTCTGCTAGATCACCTCCTTTTCAGGATGTCAATGAAAAAATTGGTTATTTCTGGACCTGCAGGGAAATGGTCTCTGGTTAGAGCTAGGTGTCAGGCATATTTCAATTTATTTGTTTTAAACTGAGTATTGAGAAAGTTTCATAAAATGTCAGTCATTTGTGTTTCTTGTTGTCATTCTTTTTCTTTATCTGTACTTTGACCCAGACCTCTACTTTGAGAAAGTGCTAAATTTCTAGCTTCTTATCCTGCTTCCAATAGAATAAAGAGCAACTTAAATTTGATTCCCTTTATTTATTTATTTATTTATTTTATTTTTTT